GAACACCTAGAGGCAAACAAAGTCATTACCAAAAGCCAACTTGGGTTTGTCAAAAACAGATCATGCCAGACGAATCTTATTGCATTCTTTGAACAGGTGACAAAATTAGTGGACCAGAGGAATGCTGTGGATATCATTTACTTGGACTTCAGTAAGGCATTTGATAAAGTAGACCACAACCTACTACTCGACAAGCTAGAAAAATGTTGGTTAGACAGCATCACCACCAGATGGATTCATAGCTGGCTGACCGGCCGTACTCAGCGTATTATTATTATTATTATTATTATTATTATTATTATTATTATTATTATTATTATTATTATTACCATCACCATCACCCTCATTATGTTATAACTAGAAGCCAGCACAGGTTTGTTAAAAACAGATCATGCCAAACCAATCTTATTTCATTCTTTGACAAAGTGACTAGGAGACCACTGAAATGCTGTGGACATAGTATATTTAGACTTCAACAAGGCATTTGACAAAGTAGACAACAACCTACTTCTTGGTAAGCTAGAAAAATGTGGGATAGACAGCATCACCACAGATGGATTTGTAACTGGCTGACAAACCGTACTCAACGAGTAGTCCTTAATGGTACTACATCTACATGGAGGGAAGTAAGCAGTGGGGGACCACAAGGTTCTGTCTTAGGCCCAGTACTCTTCAATATCTACATAAATGACTTAGATGAGTGAATAGAAGGGGAACTCATCAAATTTGCAGATGACACTAAGCTGGCAGGGATAGCCAACACCCCAAAAGATAGGCTTAAGATACAGAAGGGTCTTGACTTGAAACAATGGACCCTATCCAACAAAATGAAATTTAATGTGGAGAAAAGCAAAGTTTTACACCTGGACAGGAAAAACCAAAGGTACAAGTATAGATTAGGTGAAAACTGCCTCAAAAACAGTAACTGTGAGAAGGACCTTGGTGTCATAGTGCAGGGCTTTTCAACCTTTTCAGATTGTACCACTTTTAGGACATGGATGTCAACGCTGCAATAACCATAACAATGACAATATTTGAGTACCACCAGTGCTTAGCAAGGTGTCAAAAACTTGATGACTAAAAAGGGGGGGGGGTTACTGATTAGATTCATTTGTTGTTATAGGCTAGTTTATAATATTATGGAAAAGTAAAAAGTTGAGGTTCAATGTTAATGCTTCCTTCTACTGCAACAGAGGAAGTCTGTTCTTTTTCCCTTCTCCCCCTCACTTTTCCCCCCTTTTTCCTCCCCACTGTCCTACTATTTGCTTTTGTATTTTATTCTATAATCTAATAAAATATTACAAACTGTAGAAAAAAAGGAAAAAAGTACCAGTTTTAATTTCTTCGGTGGCTGTTCCTTTGCTGAATCACTTTCCTTTTGCACTGTCAAATGTATAATGAATTTATCCATGTTTATTAATATGCACCACTACAAGCTAGCTCAGGGGTCTTCAAACTTGGCACTTTTAAGACTTGTGGACTTCAACTCCCAGAATTCCTCAGCCATCATGGCTGGTTGAGGAATTCTGGGAGGTGAAGTCCACAGGTTTTAAAGTTGCTAAGTTGGTAGACCCCTGAGCTAGCTGGTCGGTCCTTCTTCCTCTCTCCCTTCTGAGCTCTTTCCACAGTGTAGTAAGAATGCACCCCCCAATCCCTTCCCTGTACCCTTAAAGACACAGGAATCAAGTGCAAAGCAAGAAAGGCTCACAAAATAAAGGAACACATAAACTCCAGGTTTTTTTTCTTTAAGCTGCCTCAGGCGTGTCACATGTCACAATGTCGCAATCCGAGACTGAAAGGCTCTGGCAATTGCGAAAAGCTTTAGCCTTAAATTAAGCCTGTTTACCTTGAAAGAAAACTTTCTAAAAGCCATAGACAGACTCAAGATAAGGGGGTAAAACTAATTACATTTGTTTAAAGCAATTAAACCTACAGAAGTCAACACTTTGGACTCATTGCTAGCCTAAAATACAGACTAAAATATTCCAATAATCAAAGCACACAAACCGAGCCTCTGGATTACAAAAGACTGTAAAAACTGTACAAAAATCCTTATGGTAACCCAATCAAGCTGCCAGATGATCCAGAACTAAATAAACCCACCTCCTTTCCGACATGCTCGTCTGCCGGCTTTTCATTTCATCAGAGCTGATTGCATTCTCCTGGCTGGAGAAAAAACCAGGGGACCTTTTCTTCCAGCAACAGCTGCTGCTTCTTCCCTGTCCCTGTTTCCTCCCTGCTTGCTGAGCTCCCCTTCTCTTTCCCTGTTGTCTTTTTTTCCCTTTCCCACCCAAACCACCTCCTTTTATAGCCTCTCCTCTCCTCCCCCCTCCCTTTTTCTTCAGTTCACCTCCAGCTCCGCACTACTTCTGGAAGCGCCAATCAGCTGGAGCCCTGCCAGCTCCTGGGGCTTCTGCCGAGCCCAGACAGTCCTGCAGCTGCAGCTGCCTCTCCCTCAGGCTTGGGTCGCTTCAGCTCATTCCCCTCCCCCGCTACATTTGTCTAGGACAGTTGCGTACCACCTGCCATGTGGTAAAGTACCACAGGTGGTATGCGTACCACTGGTTGAAAAGCTCTGTCCTAGTGGACGATCACTTAAACATGAGCCAGCAGTGTGCGGCAGCAGCCAAAAAAGCTAATACAATCCTTGGTTGAATAAACAGAGGTATAGAATCAAAATCACGTGAAGTATTAGTACCGCTTTATAAAGACTTAGTAAGACCACACCTGGAATACTGCATCCAGTTTTGGTCACCGTATTAAAAAAGATGTTGAGACTTTGGAAAAAGTACAAAGAAGAGCAACTAAGATGATTAAAGGCCTGGAGAGTAAAACATATGAAGAACAGTTGCAGGATTTGGGTTTGGCTAGTGTAGAGAAAAGGAGGGCTAGGAGGGACATGATAGCAGTATTCCAGTATTTGAGAGTCTGTCACAAAGATGGGGGGGGGGGTGTCAACTTATTTTCCGAAGAACCAGAGGGCAGGACAAGAAACAATGGATGGAAACAGGGAGAGAAGCAACCTGGAATTAAGGAGAAACTTCCTAACACTGAGGACAATTAACCAGTGGAACAGCTTGCCTCCAGAGGTTGTAGGTGCTTCATCACTGGAGGTTTTTAAGAATGGACAACCACCTATCTGAAATGGTATAGGGTCTCCTTCTTGAGTAGGGGGTTGGACTAGAAGACCTCCAAGGTCCCTTCCAGCTCTATTCTGATTTGATTTCTTTATGTAAAGACTAAAATGCACTAGTCTTAATATAAGGATGTATCAGGAGTAACTCCTGCATTCATTCTGCCAGTGTATGCCTATTAGGAAAATATTCATAGCACAGGGTTTATATAACGTTTGAACCACAACCTAGCCATTTTTACCTACCAAGACAAACTTAGTCTTGATTTTTATGGTTCACTATGCCATATACATTCAAAAAGTAGCACTGAATACACCAATTATGTAAATTATGGGCACGTGCAGAAGATCGCCTCTTCCTTGGAAGAATCAAAGCAAGGGCATTTTTTTATTATTTGCATTTTTTCATTTTTTACTGCAGCACATATGTGTTGTTTAGTGTGCTAAATGCTACCATGTTATTTCCAGTTTTTGGAAACTTGGAATTTTAATTGCACAAAGTACCAAAGATATTCAGCAAATCTTACCCACTAGGAAATAATGTATTGTGCCTGAAAAGCTAGACAATCTAATTCATTCTCAGAGATTTACATTATTTTGGGCTGTGATCTCAATAACTGTTCAATGAAACCTTATTTTTTATGGTAACCACAGTCCATCCAAGATCTAGTCTATCTTCTATTTGGAATGATTTGTAACTTTATTTTAATCTGTTTTTGTAAACATGGTCCTTGAAAGATTCTGGAACTGTTTGCAAAGGCACATATCTGTTCCTGGTTTGGCTTCTTGTATCAGGCATGATTCACCCAATGCTTCACTCTACTAAGTGAAGTCTTACAACCCTAACCATACCAGTCCTTTGTCCCATTTTCTTTTGTTCAACAATTCTCAACAGTCTCTAGTTGATGGAAGCCACAGATCAGTGAGCCCCATTTATTCATGTATTGAATTAATTTGAAAATATTTTAATTTAAAAACAAGCATGCTTAGTTGTTTTGGGTCACATTCTCTCAGAATAAATAAATTCATAAAATGAAATCAGTATAACACATGCCACACACTTCTCTGTCAACATGTAATGCCCTGGGTTTATTTTGTGAGAGTTCTATCATAATTTCCAGTTGGGATTAAAAACCTTAAGGATAATGTACACTATCAGAGTGGGCATTCAGACCGGTACTGACAAAGCAGTAGTAGTAGAGTCCTAAGTACCATTCTCTTCACAGAAGAGAGGGAAAATATTTCCAAAGGAAGGCACCTGACAGTTGTGGTTCTGGCCTTGCAGCATTTTGGAGAATCTCAAAAGAAAAGTGAGGTGGGGGGAGGAAAGCTGGCTGTTTTCAGAAACTGGAATGATGAGACACATACAGGAATTATTACATTCTTTTCCCTTTTAGCCTTTTTTAAAAGGAACAAGTGAATAATTAAGTCTTTAATAACAATTACAAAATAAAAATATAATTTGTGATCAAAATGGCAACACAACATAAAACTCCAGTTGTAAGGACTCCCATTTGCATACTTGATTTGACACCACCATTTTGGTGTGTAAGAAAATGGGACAACAGAGGGGGTGATATAAAGAGCAGCAACATAACTTTAGTGCTTTAAGTACCAGAAACTGCACACATTTGTGAGCTAGTCAGTGAGCTAGAATCCATGAGACTTCGTTTTTCGCTTGTTACATGTCTTGTGATTTTAGAACAGGGAGATCATATTGAGTAGTACATTCCCCATTTTTAAACTGATGCCTTTAAAAAAATCTGTATGTATGTCACCATTTTTCACATGATACAGAAAAACCCAAGGACCCAGAGGGGGAAGCAAGTTTTGTTAATACCATTTACAAAATACCAAGGAGTCCACAGCTATCTAACACATTTACTACCACACAGGAATAAATGAAGCTACAGTGTACAAAAACTGTAAACACAGCACAATAAATAGATAAAACAGCAGATTCCTCACCATGCACGTCATGAGACTTCATCTCTATACAATCTCACTTCTTACTCTTACTTTGTTGCAATTCTCTCCCAAGTGCAAAGCATCACAAATGAACAGTTGTGTTAACATTTATACAAGGGAATTACAAATATGCAGTATTGTACAGATAATTGCTGTTATATTAATTTACAGATGTTCATTCCTATTAACAGTAAGAATAGAAAAAACCAAAGCATGAGAGAGATGCACTGCTGTCAAGTTCCTACAGCTGCCACGGAAATACAATATGCTGCATTCCATCGTCCCTTGCATTCAAATTGCTACTGATGCATAGCACCTAAACAAGTTCCCAAAAGTTGGAGTTTCGTTACTACAGAAACTACGTCACCTCCATTGCTACTGTATTGTCTACTATATTGTTCAGTGCTGACTTTTCTGTTTCATGGTTTTCCCTGTGAAATAAAAGTGGAGAGAACACAAATGCATTTTTTAAGTATTTAAATAGAAAAAAGCCACTCTTAAAAATGGTAAAAGTACTTATTTTCCATCTTTGGAAGTTCAGTATAGTGTAATAAAATATTTCTTTACATTTTCAAGTCTGTGTTGTCTCATACTTATGAAAATGTTATGGAAAAACGCACCATCTACAATTCAAAATGAGATATTGCCAATCTGAAATACGTATTTTAACAGAGAAAATCAATTTGTTTTTTGGGCAGTCAGTTCATTAGAACAGGCATGTCAAACTCGCGACATCATGTGATGTCACGCAATGTATCGGGCCGGTTTTGCCATTGCCGGCAATGGGGTAGGCGCGGCTTCCACGTGACGCATCCGGCCCACGGGCCGGCAGTTTGACACCCCTGCATTAGAAGAATTGTATTCCTAAAGTTCTCAAAGGAAAGAAAACTACCTACACCTTTAATGTAGCCATGATTGGGTACAAGTAAATTAATCCAACACCATCCCCTCCAATCTCCAAATGGGGCAATAATGAAAATATCAATGAAATTGATGAAAAGACAGATGTAGCATTCTTTGAGTGAAGTCTGAATCCTGATGATTTCTTGGAACAAATCCGTGGAGTCATCTTCTGGGATTTTTTGTTTGAGTTCCCAATCTATAGCCCTGGAATTTCCAGGTAATGTCCTATCCCAGTATTTAATTATTTCTCAGATTTATATCCTGCCTTTTTTCATGAGCTCAAGGTGGTATCCACAGCACTCCCTTCTTCTCATTTGTCTACAAAACAACCACCCTGTGATCTGAGAGACTAACTTCCATGGCTAAGAATGGATTAAACCTGGGTCTCTATGGAGCCACTCCAACAATTTAATGACTACACTACACTGGTTTTAATATATTAATATTGAAAATTAAAAAAGATAGGGGAGGGGAGGGGAGAGACTCTGACCACATGCAATATTTTCAGGGCTTGAACAGATCAACCTTAATATTGCAAGTATTCCTGTATACACATTCCCAGGTTGGAGGTAGTAATATGCTTGGGGTACCCAAATCTACAACACAAATAGTAAACTGGAAAAAAAACAGATTGAAAACATAAAAAGTGAGAATTCTCTAATCCTTTACAATGAATGAGTAGCTGGTTCAAGTTTTACTAAATGAAAGTAAGGAAAATTAGAAGCTATTAATTAGACTTTGGTAGGTGTTTTCAGCAGCACCAAAAAGGCCCCTTTTCTTTGGAAAATCATGTCGGAATCAGAGACCAGTCATAGCAGGATGCCAATATATCTCACTGCCTTTCGCAGCGTTTATTGCTTTATACAGTTTTCCAAGCAGCAAAAGATAACATAGCAACAGCATAGCAACGGCATTTTTATTGGTAGATTCTCCTTGTCAATCCTTAAGAATATATCAGCTAGGGGCACCAGCAGGGGCAGTTTTCTGCTACATCCTGTTGGTGTGAACGAGATGAGATCATGTGAACCAGGTGAAATCATGTACCAGCCTGGGGTAGTTTCCTACATCACCATGGCGATATGAACAGGGTGAGATCATGCAGGGATTCAAGGCATGCGGCATTTGAGGTAGGCAGTTTGCTGCTCATGACCTCTATCTCTACAAAATCAAGCTTTTCAAAAGTAGTCTGTCCCACTTTTGATATAAACTTACCATAAATTTATTTAATATTTCAAACTATAGCACTTCCATTTTCATTAAGACATTCTTAATGCAGAAATTAGAGGCAGCTTGAAAGAATTTTCTACTGAGACTAAACACCCAAAATTTTTCTTTTATAGTAAGAATTCAAGGTGATAAAAAGCAAAAAAGCACTTACCTTTGTACTGTGTCCACAGAGGATGAGGCTGGCACCTGACAGTTTGCTGTAGCCAGCTTTAAGGCAGATGATGGAACAGCACTTAGAGTCCTAGGCATGTGCCGTGCATTGAGCATATTGATAGAGTTTGCAGTGGCAACAGATGAGGGTACAGTTAATTTAATGTTATTCCCAAACAGAACCTGAGTTGTTACAGAATTGGCAACAGTTACATGGTGACTCAGTGCACTGTGAGAACTTGAAGTCTGTGTTATATTTGAAGGCTGTAACAAGGCTGAACCTGCTGTTGATGAGCTTGTATGTACAAGTGCTGTAGGCGTAGTACTACTGAAGTGTAAACCCTTATATAATCCTGTGAAATCAAAAAGAAAAAAAAATCTCACGACAAATGACAATAGCAGCTTACTGTCTTAACTCTCTCTCATATACACCCTCCCACATACACAATTGCACCTTTTGGTACTATAATCATTAGCACTTCTTACCTGAGGCTTGAAGGATGCCATTCACCCCAATTCCAAGCACCACATCATCCTTCATTTTGAATCCCATGAGCTGTTCTGATGTAACCAAGGCTGAAGCAGCAAACTGAGCACTGACAGAATCCAATGTCTTGGAAATAAAACCCTTTTAAAGAGAAAGAATGGAAAAGACAAAGGGCAACAAGGTTTATTTTAGATTACTGAGAAAATCAGTTACTGATTTAACTATTTTGAACTTCTACCAAAAAGACTGTATATATTATCAACTTGAAAAGACTTTTTATACAGTATCTTTACTTTATTTCTTCTGCACTCTGGCTTTCTATGTTAAAAGTTTAGAAACCTTTTTTCCCCTCTACTCTGTGAGTTTGTATATCAACACTATTTCTCCTGCTAGCTGCTTAGTTTTGCTTTTGGAACTCCTTATCTGACCTTGAAAAGAGAACAGTGTATTCTTGCCTGCTTTTCTGCTGTCAGCAACTGTAAGAGAGAGAGATAGATAGATAAATTTTATTACGGTTCAAGACCAGTACAAAAGTAACTTAACCAAGCAGGATCCAAAAGTACAGTTAACAGTTTAGTAGCTTAATTCATGGTGTCCTCCTGTTAACAAGGCTGCATGTGACATACCTTAATGGCTAAGGCATGCAATTTATCAATTAATGCACATATGGCATTATGCCAAGGTTGCTTTTTTGTAGGGTTATGCACATACAGTCATAACTGACAAAGAAGAGAAATGCAAATTAATGGCAAGAAAAGAGAATCCATAAGAAGCGACCTGTTAAATCAGGTTGCGATTGGTTAAACTGGTCTAGTATTTGGTGTTCATAGAGTGGCCAAAGAAATGCATTCTAGAAGCTTACATATATGGCCAGGAAAATGCCAACCTTTTTCACTGTTGTTTCCTAACAGCTGATACATAAAGCATGTTGCCTCAGATTCCTTGCAAACTCTGTTTTTTCAACCCTAGAATTTTTGAAACTCTCTTGCTTCAACTGGGGATAAGGATGTTTAGTAATTTAAAGGTCCATGGGCTTCTAAGCAGGATAAATCTGTGAGACAATGAGGAGAACCTCAAGTAGATTCAGAAAATATCACCTATCAGAAGCGTTCTGGTTCAGGTCTAATTTGGTCCTGTCATTATGACATGGAAAAGGACATAATATTAAACTTCACTGGTGTATAATCTTCTAGAAGTCCCAGATAAAAGCAAGCATGATAGGCTAGTCAACTAAAAATCCTGACATGACCTAAATATTGTCTATCGGGAAGTTCTTTTCTATTCCAATTTCTTCATCCAGGAAGCTTTATTTAAATAGAGGCTTTGTTGTGAATTGAGTTGTTGTCAGTGCCTCTTTTAGATCAGTGTTTCTCAACCTTGACAATTTTAAGGCATGTGGACTTCAACTCCCAGAATTCCACAGCCAGCAATGCTGGCTGTGGAATTCTGGGAGTTGAAGTCCACATGCCTTAAAATTGTCAAGGTTGAGAAACACTGTTTTAGATCATCCAGTCTCTGAATAATGTTAGCTTGCTCAGGTTCTGGCAATGAATCGAATAAGTCAACTGGCATTTCTTCTGGCACCTCCTCAGCAGATTCTGTAGCTGTGGATAACAGAGTTTGTAGATCACTCCTCTGCTTTCTCAAGGTCAATTCAGCTGTGCCTGCTTCAAGCTTATCAGTATGAGGTCTGTTGCAGCTTGGATTTAAAGCAATAGTTCCCTTTTTTTGTAAACAATTTATTAATTTCCAATACTACACCATCCAGTGCTTCCTTGGTCCTCTCTTCTTCCGGTGGTATACATTTTTCCATATTGGGCAAATACAATACTTGTTACTGTTAATACATATACAATTAAAGATAGACATCTTCATCACATTTTTCTGGTATTATACGAAGTATCGATAATGTCAGTTTATAATATCTTTTCTAGCCAATACATATCTCAATTGCATTTGCACTTAAAATCCATTTGTTCAATCAATATCCTGTTTTTCCCGCTTTTTAAAAAAAATTAATTTCCCATCAATGTTCAAAATATCTCTATCGCTTATAATTTTCTCATAATATATTATATTTGGGATAACCAAAAGCTTCCCTTATTCAAACCCTTTTAGAATTTTCATATTTCCCATCTCATAACAAAATATAATAATCTAGTTAGAAATCCTATCCTTCTAGTTATAATACTTTTATTTCTAACAGTTATCTATTTTCTTAACCATATTCAAACATCTATTTAATAATATAATATCCCATCTCTATTGCTTATAGTTTTGTCATAGTAAATTATATTTGGGTAACCAAAAGTTTCCCTTATTCAGACCCTCTTGGCATTTTCATATTTCCCTTCTCATACCAAAATATAGCATTCTAGTTGCATATCCTATCTTTCTAGTTATAGTAATACTTTTATTTCTAACAATTATCTATTCTCTTAGCCATGTTCAAACATCTATTTCATAATATAATGTCCCATCTAATGGGTCAACACCTCTATTTTCTTCAGTCTTACTCTGGCTTTCTTCCTTTGCCAACTAACTTTCCAAGTCAATGCATTTGAGTCCTCAAGTAGTTCTTCCCCTATTTTTGTGTATATTGTTTGAAGTAAGAAAGACAATTTGATTAAAGTATTTTTGGAAGAACACTCAGCCCATTTATATTCATTAAACAGCCTCCCTCCTCCAATTTTCCACAATTCTCCTGACAGCTTTATCTTCCGTTCAATCAGCTCTTCTTCCTTATCCTCAAATGTGTTGTGAGATCTTGACAAGTAAGATATCTTTTCCATTTCCGGTATTATCACTGCATCTTCTAATTCTTCGTTTGTCTGAGTCTGTCTGTTAATTCCTTCCTTTAGGTCTTCCATCTTTGCATCTGCTTCCTCTAATTTTCCTTCTATTTTCTGGGTTACTGGTTCCTTCTTTGTAGTCATTTTCTGAATTTGTAAGTTTAGATTAGAAAGTTGTTCTTTTATCTCCTTTGCATTATTTTTAGTCTCATCATGAGCTAAGACAATTGTCTCTTGTATTGATTTCAACATAGAAAGAATTTCTTTCTGAGATTCATCAACATTTCCTTTTTGGTATGTGAAGCTGGGGGTTTTGTAAGGGCAAGAAAGATAAGATTGAACGTGTTTCAGGCATTTATGTTCTTCAAACCGAAAAAGCCTGGTTCACACAAGCCATTATAAGGAAGTCGGTCAATTTAATGCTGCCACTTGTTTTGAGAGGTGGCCAAAGAGGTCTGCTAGTCTGGGATTCAGCCAGCACTCACTGTGCAAAAGACATGAAGAGGTTCCTTGGAGAGAGAGGAATAGATCAAATCATGATTCCTGCAGGAATGTGACGGATATAGGTCTGAGACCTATAACACTATTTGTTCGGTAAGTTCCTTTTAAACGTGTCCCTTTAGTTACTGATGTAACTTGTATCTTACCTCTCTTTAGTCGCACCTTTGAAACACTTCGGATCGGACGGTCTCCAGCACTGAACCTACTTCTTAAGTACCCTATTTTAGTGACTGTCGACACAACGGTTACGTGTACAAGCAGGCTATATGGACAAAAAGTGCTCATTTAAGGAGTCCGCTATTGCTGGACATGAGAGATTGGGGCCAATGGGTTTACAGGAACTGGAGTCGCAAGAGGTTAAGGCCGGAATTCGGGGTTTGGGTGAGTTACTGTATGAAGATGTTACAGAAGAAGACAACGTGGCTGTTTTTGAATAAATGTTGATTGTTGTACTTCACCATTGTGGTTGTGGTTGTCCTGGGGGGGGAATGGCGGTTAGGGTTGGGATTAGGCATTGTGGGTAGGGTTGGGGGGAGTGGAGGTTAGGGTTGTGTCAGACCTGGAAAGCAGGTGCCAAGTGGGTTAGATCGGGGGATCTGCCAAGTATTTTGGCAGCGGCATTGGTGGGCGTGACGCGGCTCAGCCGAAAGCGGCCAGCCACAGAACAAGTGGGGCAGCTCCCACATCACCTACCCACCCTCTTCCATTTCACTCGCCTTCCGAGCACCGAAGCGGTAGGTGGAGCATTTCTCTGCAGCCACGGAGCTGGAGAACTTGCCTCACCACCGCCCAGATAAGCAGTCCAACAGGGTTTTTTTTTCCTTATCCAGCTGCAGTCTTCAAAAGTGAAAGTTTCCAAGGACACCCAAAGTCTTTTCTGAGTCTAGGCTTCAGGCCAAATTTCCTTTAAGCATAATAAATTGTAGTGCCGTAGTTCGCCACTAGATGTCGTTAACGCCTTCTTCCAGCTTCAAACTTATATTGCAAGCTTTTCAAGTCTCTTTTCCAAAAAAAAGTCTCAAAAGCACTTTTAGTCCCCAAATTTCAAGGCTATATATCTATATTGATTCCAAATTAATCTTATAATTTTCTTCATTTTCCCCCAAGCAGTTATTTCGCCACTTTTTTTTTTCTTGGAATGGGGTGGAAATTCCCTTTCCCTCTCTGATCGAGGATTCTTTGCTTTGGGCGGTTTTTTCCAGGAAAAAGTCTTAAAGTTATAAAGAGAGGATAGAGTCTCACCCAGTTTCATCCACGTTGCTCAAAAGTTGCTCGTTAGTGCTTATTTCCTTCGGTTGTCAGCAGCTTCTGACTGGCTACATGAATGTAGCCAGTCTTTCCCCCGCCGGTTTGGAGGGCTTCCTCAGATCAAACGGAAGGGCCGCCACCCCTCCGCGATCAACGAGGGTCCCCTCCTTCATCGCCTCTCTGGGGCGGCTTTTGACCCTTTTTAGGGTCCCCAGCAGGGCGAATTCAGACGTGGAAGATGGAGCCCCGTCTTCCTGCATCCGTTACGCAGTGACATCAAACGGGAAGTCTGCAATAGTTCCCTTTTGGAGAGGCTGATCCAGGAGTGGGCACCCTTTCTCTGAGCACAAGACACGTATTGGAAAGATTGAAAAACTACTCAAGAAGGGCTTCATCTTAAAAAGCATAGAGGGAATTGTGGGCTGCTTGAAAGATAGCAAAATTTGCATACATTGCCTTCTGGCTGGCAACCATTCTGCGTGTAGTAAATCTATTAGAGAGTATTCGCAGCGGAGCACCTGGCTCAGAGGCAGCCTAACAGCTTTTCTATCACTCCAACGCCCTCTATTCGTTCTATTGTCATAAATTTGCAAGGTAACCTGGTTAGTCTGCTAACAGAAGTTATGTTGGTCACCTCTTGGACTATCTGATTGAGTCTTGTTTTCTTTGTAGTTATTCTTTCCTCTCCCATTTTTTGGGAGAGGAAATTTCTGAGTTAGCCACCCCATGTCTATCAGTAGGTGTCCTCCTGGATCCTTCTGCAATATTTCGGTGAACTCTTAATAAACTTTGCAAAAGACTCTTCCAAGCAGTCAACCTTATTTATAACTGTTGATAAAAATTCATAGATTGAATTTACAGTTTGAGCTGTAAGCAAACATTGTCTGGAAAGGAAGTCTGTTGCATTCTCCCTTTTTGAATTTGCTACATTCCCA